CCTTCTGACCTCTTCAAGGTCTTCTCTCTATAGGTGCGCAGACTGGTCACCTGGTGTAGACCAGATGATGTAGATCCTCCCCCAGCTCATATCCACCAGGAATAAAAGCAAGTAAGTTTCAAGGCAGTGTCTGCAGATGAGTTGGAAATCACTCTGGGCTGGGTGCTGGTGGGCATGCTTGTAATTCTAGCTACTTAGGAGGCTGAGATCTGAGGAGGGAGGTTCAAACAAGTTGGGTCAGTCATGTTTATGAGACTTTTTTTTTTTTTTTTCCGGTCATGGAGCTTGAACTCAGGGCCTGGGCACTGTCCCTAAGCTTTTTTGCTCAAGGTGAGTGCTCTACCACTCTGAACCACTTCAGAAAACCACTTCTGGTTTTCTGGTGGTTAATTGGAGATGAGTCTCACGGACTTTCCTGCCTGGGCTAGCTTTGAACTGTGATCCTCAGATTTCAGCCTCCTGAGTAGCTGGGATGACGGGCGTGAGCTTCCAGTGCCCGGCTATGAGACTTACCTCCCGGGTGAACCAACAAAATGCTGGAAGTGGAGCCATGGCTCTGGTGATGGTTGAGTGGAATCAAGCTTTCCAGTCGAACTTGGGAAAGGCCCTGGGTTCAAGCCCCATGCCTGGCCTTCATGTGTACATGCTGGTGCACACACACACATACCCCACTCTGGATATGAGTCCTAACTACAAGGATTGGCTTTTTTTTTTTTTTTGTGGGTTGTGGGGCTTGGTCTCTGGGCTTGGGCGCTGTCGCTGTACTCTTCAGCTCAACGTGAGTGCTCTATTGCTTGAGCCACAGCACCACTTCCGGTTTTCAAGTGGTTTATTGGAGTAAGAGTCTCACAGACTTTCCTGCCTGGGCTAGCTTTGAACTGTGATCCTCAGATCTCAGACTCCTGAGTAGCTAGGATTACAGGTGTGAGCCGCTGGCGCCCGGCAAGGATTGGCTTTCTTATAACAAGTTCCAGCTATTCAAGAGGCTTGAGCTGGAGTTCACAGCCATCTCAGGCAACAGAGTGAGAGCCTCTCAGGCACAGGGAGAAGCCAGGTAAAGGCAGAGACAGGAGTGGTGCTGCCCCAAGGCCAGGACTGCCTGTGGCCACCAGAAGCTGGAAGGGCAAGGAGTGTGGCCTTGCCCACAGCTGACCTCGGACTTCTACAACAGAAGAGGGTAAGTTTTTTGTTCTTTGAAGCATAGTAATCCTAAGTGAAGAGTGTGCGTCTGTGTCCACGCAGCAGTTACGAGCTACTTGGCTGTGGCTTTGTGTTGGCCATGCACAGGAGCTGAATCTGCACAGAAGGCTGCACACAGGGCCGAGAGGCCAGCCAGGAAGTGGAGCTCTGGGAACCAGCCCCATTTGCCCCCCCCCCCCCCCCCCCCCCCCCCCCCCCCCCGTCTTCTTAGAGGTTTTATAGTGAAGAATTTCAGACAGACATGGGCAACACACACATTACATATGGCTCACAGCTGGAACTGCACAAGAGTCACTGACTTATGTATTTCTTTTTATAGTTATCCAAGTGAGTCTCAAGCTCCATTTTTATTGGGAAAGACAACACTGTATGGCTTAATAAATTGAAAGGCCCACAGAACTCCCCCCTTCCCCCCTCCTCCCCTGCAAGCTGTCACTTTGTCCTCAGCTCTGTTTGTCTGCAGCATGGTCAGGGTCTGCTGCTCACCGATGATCATATTTGTTTGTGTTTACATGTGGTATTTGTGTTACACTTGTCTTAATTGCCTCCTTTATGCAAACTACAGAAGTCACAAATGCTTGTGAAATTTGTAAAACCACACAAATTTAAGAAGACAGTTTATATTTTAAGTGTCCAAGGTGACCAAAAAGCTGCCAGCATCTTTTGCCTTTTTTTTTTTTTGGTTGGTCGTGGGGCTTGAACTCTGGGCTTGGGCACTGTCCCTGCGCTCTTCAGCTCAAGGCCAGCACTGTACTGCTTGAGCTACAGCACCACTTCTGGGTTTCTAGTGGTTTACTGGAGATAAGAGTCTCATGGACTTTCTTGCCTGGGCTGACTTTGAGCCATGATCCTCAGAGCTCAGCCTCCTGAGTAGCTAGGATTATAGGCATGAGCCACCAGCGCCTGGCTGTCTTTTGCCTATTGAATGTTAGGGAAGGGAATGGAGGCCATGGGGCTTCTCCACTGTGCCCAGTTTCATGCTTTGGGTGGGGTAGCAGAGCTTCAATTACAGCTGCCCTACTCTTGGTCTGTGATGTACAGAGTCTGTAATGGCCTGTGGTGTGGGTAGGTAAACCATGGCCAAAAACTCAAGGCGGGTCCAGAGTGTGCTGTCAGCAAGGCCGGCGTAGCTGGCTGAAGCTCTTTTGGCTTTGTGGATATGGTGTTGCCCATATGAGCAGTGTCCTAGCCCCAGAAATAGAAGATGGGTTGCAATGGTGGGAACATCCAAAGTTATGTGAGCCTTGGAATCCTGGTCTCTTTGACATGGCATTCAGCTCTCAGCCCCAACACCAATGTAAAGCTTCCCGTTACAAGTTGCATAGGGAACTCATTGGTGCTTGGCTGACGGTTTGGTCTACTTTAATACTTTCTAACTGGTCAATATTTAAAAAATACTGGGATTTGCTGGGTGCTGGTGGCTCATGGTTGTACGTCTAGCTACTCAGGAGGCTGAGATCTGAGGATTGTGGTTCAAAGCCAGCCCAGGCAAGAAAGTCTGTGAGACTTTTTTGTTGTTGTTGTTGGTCATGGGGCTTGAACTCTGGGCCTGGGTGCTGTCCCTGTGCTCTACATCTCAAGGCAAGTGCTCCATGGCTTGAGCCACAGAGCCACTTCCATTTTTCTGGTGGTTAATTGGAGATAAGAGTCTCACAGACTTTCCTGCCCAGGCTGGCTTTAGACTGAGATCCTCAGATCTCAGCCTCCTGAGTAGTTGGATTACAGGGGTGAGCCACTGGTGCCTGGCTGTGAGACTCTTACCTACAATAAATTATTCAGAAAAAGAAGTGGAGCTGTGGCTCAAGCAGTAAAGTGCTAGCCTTGAGAAAAAGAATCTCAGGGATAGCACCGAGGCCGAGTTCAAGTCCCAGGACCTGTGTGCATGAACGCACGCGCGCGCGCACATGCACACACACACACACAAAACAACAATAAAACAAAAACGGAGATATGAGCAGAAGGTAAGGCTTAAGTAGAGTACCTCCTGCTTATCAGGTTCAAAGCCCCGAGTTCAAATACAAGTATTGCCAAAAGAAAAAGAAATGAAGTTCCAAGATCGTGGGGCTCAGTGGTACAGCAATTGCCTAGCATGTTTCAGGCCCTAAGCTTGATTCTAGAACTGCCACAACAACAAAACTTGAGATTTTAGACATGTAACACTCAAGTTTCTGCCTGAGCTGAAAAGCTCAGGCTGTGCCCAGGTGGAGCTTAAGGGACAGCTTGGGTCCACACCGCACCCTCACGCCTGCTTGCAGGTTCTAGGATAACCCCAAACAGTTTTTTTTGTCCCCCCCCCCCCTTCTTTTTTTCTGGCTGGTCCTGGAGCTTGAACTCAGGGCCTGGGCACAGTTCTTGAGCCTCTCTGTGATCAAGGCAAGTGCTCTACCACTTGAGCCTCAGTGCCACTTCCAGCTTTTTCTGTGTATGTGGTACTGAGGAATCGAACCCGGGGCTGCATGCTAGGCAGGCACCCTACCACTGAGCCACCTTCCCAGCCCACACCTGTAATCCTAGCTACTCAGGAGGCTGAGATCTCAAACACTTTTTGCAAAGGGAGGCACCTTTCCTGGCTAAAAGCCCAGGAAAAGAGCACTGTCTTGAAGATACTCAGACGTGGGGGCCAGGCCGGGTGCGTGCGCGGAGGTGCGCACTGCAGCGACCACGTCGGTTAGTTTGAAGGCTGTTACCGTGTGCCGGGCCCAGTGATGCATCCTGCTTCTGTGAGCAAGCTGTCCCTTCTCAGACATTAAAAGAGTAGTTCTTAGGCCGGGAGGGTGGCTCAGGGGGCGAGCGCTCGCCTGGCACGCACGAAGCCCTGGGTTCGAGTCCTCCGAACGGAACGGAAGTGGGGCCGCGGCTCAAGCGGCAGAGGCTAGGCGTGAGCGGTAGCAGCCCCGAGCCGGCGCCAGCCCGATTCAAGCCGCGGGACGGGGTGGGGTGGGGTGGGGGCAGCTGCCGGCTGTGCGGACGCCTCGGCCGGCCGCAGCGCCCCGGCGTCCCCGGGCATCCCGGCCGGCCGGCGAACAAAGCCGCACAAAAGCCGCGTCCGGGCCGGGCGGGCGGGCGGGGTGCTAACAGAAGCGCTTCCGGAGGGCCCGCGCCGCGGACAACCGTGACCCCCGCCGCGCCCGGCCCGGCCCGGCTCCCGGAGCCCGCGTCGCGGCCGGCCGCAGGGCAGGGCAGGGCCGGGCCGCCGGGTCCCCGGCCGCGTCCTCCGCGGCGGCGCGGGCGGCGGGAGAGCGCCGTGACCTGCGCACCGCTCGCCGCGCCCGCACCTGCCGGCCGCCCCCCTCCCGCGGGGCCCCGCCCGCGGCCGCCGCCCGGCCGGGCCCGGGAACGCGCTGCCCGGCGCCGCGGGGTCGTCCCCGGCCCGCACTCCGCGGGCGCCCGCGCAGGGCCGCAGCCATTTTGGAGCGGCGGAGACAAAGGGCGAGCCCTGCGGCCGCGGCCGCCGCCGAAGCCACGAGAGGCCGGCCGGGGTCAGCCCGGCCCCGAGCGCCGCCGCCCTCGCCGTCGCCGTCCCGGCCCCGCGGCCGCCCCGGCCCGAGCGCAGCTCCAGCCAGCCCGCCCGCGCCTCGGCCTCTGGCGCTCGCAGCCATTGGCCGCGCCTTTTAAGCGCACGCCGCAGCCAATCGGCGGCCGGCGGCGCGCGGGCGGGGGCGGCGCACGCCGCGGCGCCTGCGCAGGAGCGCGCCCCTCCCCCCGCGCCGCGCCCCCGCCCGCCCCGCGCGCCGCCCCCCGCCCGCCCCGCGCCCCGCTGGAACCTCCTCCTGCCCAGGCGCGCTCGGCCGAGCGGCGGCGGCGGCGGCGGCGAGGAGGAAAGATGGCGGCGGGCTCGGATCTGCTGGACGAGGTCTTCTTCAACAGCGAGGTGGACGAGAAAGTGGTGAGCGACCTGGTGGGCTCGCTCGAGTCGCAGCTGGCGGCCAGCGCGGCCCACCACCACCACCTCGCGCCGCGCACGCCCGAGCTGCGGGCCGCGGCCGCCGGCGCGCTCGGGAACCATGTTGTGAGCGGCAGCCCGGCCGGAGCCGCGGGCGCAGGGCCGGCCGCCCCCGCCGAGGGCGCGCCCGCAGCGGCGCCGGAGCCGCCCCCCGCAGGTAGAGCGCGGCCGGCGGGCGGGGGGCCGCGGCGCGCGGGCCCCGGCTCACCGCGCCGCCCGCTTGTCCCCGCAGGGCCCGCGCCGGCGCCCGCCAAGCTGAGGCCGCCGCCCGAGGCCAGCGCGGGGCCCTGCCCGGCCGCCGCCGCCGCCGCCGCCGCCACCGCCGCCGCCGCCGCTGCGGGGCCCGAGCCCGCCGCCGCCCCGCCCGCCGGCCCCGGCGCCTCCAAGCCCGGCCCGCCCGGCCCCGGCGCCGCGCAAACTTTGAATGGGAGCGCCGCGCCGCCCACCGCGCCGCACGCCGCACCTGCTGTCAGCCCGGTCAACAACGGGCCCGCGCCGCCGCCCGCCGCCGGCTCCGTCATCCAGGCGGCCCCCGCGCCCGCGCCCGCCGCGCCCTCGCCGCCCGCCGCGCCCGCGCCCGCCGCGCCCCCGCCGCCCGCGCCCCCCGCGCCCGCCGCGCCCGCCCGGCCGCCCGGCCACCCCGCCGCGCCCGCGCCCCCCGCGCCCGCCGCCGCCGCCGCCGCCGCCGCCGCGCAGAACGGGGCCGGGGCCGCCGCCGCCGCCGCCGCCGCCGCGCCCGCCCCCGTCCCCGCCCCGGCCGCCGGGGGCGCCGCGGGGCTCGGCGGGCAGCCGGGGGCCGGCGCGCCCGCGCAGGGGGGCAAAGCCGAGCCGCCCAAGACCGCGGGGCCGGCGGCGGGCGCGGCGGCGGCGGCGGCGGCGGCGGGCGCGGCGGGCGGCGTGCTGCTCGGGCCCGCCATGCCAGGGGCGCTGCCCAGCCCCGCCGGCGTCCCGCAGCCCGCGCCCGGGACCCCGGCGGGGCTGCCCAAGGGCGCCGCCGCCGCCGCGACGCCCAGCCTGCCCCGGACGCCCTCGGCCACCACCACCGGCGGGATCCGCGCCACCCTGACGCCCACCGTGCTGGCGCCCCGACTGCCGCAACCGCCGCAGAACCCGACCAACATCCAGAACTTCCAGCTGCCCCCAGGTGAGCGGACGCGCGGGGCGCGGGGCGCGGGGCGGCGGGGCGCGGGGCGGGCCGTGGTTCCGGGAAGTTCTGGCCGCGATCTGGGGCCGCGCCCGGGCCGCCGGGCTCGCGGGGTTCGTGGCGGCGGCCGCAGGCCCGGTCCCCGGCTCTGCCCCGGTGCGGGCCAGCTCGCTGTCCCGCGAGCCTGCTGCCCTGCTTTGCGGCCGCTGTCCGGGAGCGGCCCCGAGTCGCCCGGTCGGGTCCTGGGCCCGGGGCTCCGAGGGGCTCGCAGGAGACGGGCCGGGCGTGCTCGCGCCCCGGGGCGGTGCAGCCCCCCGGGTTGTCACCCCGTGTACTCTGACGAGACCTACTTGGGGCCGGGGGTGAGGCAGGGTGGAGACCCCCCTCCTAGGGTGGGGGGACCCCCTCACCCCGTGAGGCCGGGGGTCGGGGTTCCCCGCCCCTCGGGAGGCTGCTGTTCCCCAGCCCCAGCGGGGAGTGCCCAAGGACGGGGCGCGCGCTCTGCTTGTGGGCACCTCGAGGTGAGCAGGATGCTCTTGGGGCAGGGGTGTACTGTGTGCTGTGTGCGGGACTCGCGTGCGGAGCGGTCCGTGCCTCGGGCACCGATGTCTGTCTAACTTTTCCTGTTCGGCTCTGCTCTGCTTCCTTGGAGTTTAGTTTGATGGACCATTTCTGGTTCGGCGCTGCGGGCAGGCCGCTTTTGTTTGGGGGTCACCAGCCAGCGTCCCACTGAGTCCTGGGCTGGAGTGCCGAGCTCCGGGCACTCCTCGCGTGGTCTGTAGTGACACGTGCAGCGAGCGGTTGTGGCGGCCCCAGCCCTGCCTGCCGCAGGGACAGCAGAGAGCATCAGGCTGCCACCGTGGCCTCTCCTGTCTTTTGAGAGAGCATCTCAACAGCAAAGGTTTTCTGGGGAAGCCCATGAGGCTCAGGTCACTGGCCACATGTCCCGAGGGGTCTGCTTCACTAAGCAGGGCTTAGGATGGATTGTCAAGCTTCAAGGAGGGGGGTGTGGCACACACATAGTTCTACAGAGGTGCACTTTGCCACACAACATCTGCGGAGTGCTGAGAAGCTGGTTGGGCGTTTGATTGTGGCTCTGTTTTGCAGCATAAGAGTCTTTTGACCTTTTGGTGGAAAATATGGCTGATGTTTACGTGTTAAAAATGTAGTGTAGGGGTTGGAGGCATGGCACAGGTCGTACAGTGCTAGCCACTGAGCAAAAGCAAGTGTCAGATACTGAGTTTAAGTCCCAGTTGTGAGCTAAAAACAAACAGGTAATGTGTAGTTGTAGCCTCCAGTGTGACGTTCCACAGTACTTTGTGTTCACTGATGTACACTCTTCCAGCGGTCCCTCACATGTGCCTCTCTCAAGAGGAGGGCAGTGTACTGCCCTTTCATCAAGAGAGCCAGCCAGGTGCCTGGGCCGTCTGTGGTAGAGACCTGCTTAGCTGTCTGGGGCTGGCTGGGCTCCCTTGCAGTGTGAGGCCCTTGCAGGCAAAGCCCGTGTCTGTCTCCCGTGGAGAAGGAGGACATGCTTCAAAAGGCCATCACTGCTCTCAGGTGTGAACGTCTTGAACTTATTTCTGCCTCAGTTTTAAGGCTGGCTGTGTTTGATCAGGAGACAACCCCATGGAAATACTCCTGTGTTTCTGTGTCCCTCTCCATGTGGGTGAGCGCAGACTGGGGCCTGTTGACATTTGGGTGGCAAATGTGGAGAGCTATGCTTTATAGTTGCCATCTCCTTTTCTGGAAAGCAGACTTACATTCATCTCCTCCTCCTCGGATCTTTTGATGAGGAATTCTGATTAATTATGTTACTTTAATAGCAGCCAAAATTAAACAAGTATTTGGTGGTTAAAACCACCATTAACACTTCATGCCAAAGTGTTCTAATCATTCACATCACAATGACAGGTTATAAATATTCTAGTTATGTAGAAGACTGATCAGGATATGTTAGTGTTTTTCTAATTGATGTTTTTACGTGGATGTTCTCCATAATAAAAACATAGAGAGCCACAGTGAGTAACTTCTGGCAAAGTTCTTGTTTGGTTAACAACTTCTTTGGGACAAACTGAGGTGGAGTGAGAGGTGCTGGGGGGGCGGGCGGGCAGAGTCTCAAGCTACACATAGGTGTCAAGTGAAGTAACAGCTCATTGGCAGTTGAGTGAAGTGTGAAAGGGGCTGTTCCCCTCCCAGTACCCTCCTTCCTTAGAGGTCATGATGGGACAGGATTTCACCCTGAGGTTTGGAAGCCAGGCTAAGTTTCATCCTTACAGCTCACCAAGAGTTTTTTTTTGTTGTTCCTGGTCCTGGGGCTTGAACTCTGGACTTGGACCCTGGCCCTGAGCTCCTTTGTGCTCAAGGCCAGTGCCCACTCGAGCCACAGCACGACTTCTGGCTTTTTCTGAGTAGTTTGTTGGAGATAAGAGTCTCATGGACTTTCCTACCCTGGCTGGCTTTGAATTGAGATCTCAGATCTCAGCTTCCTGAGTATAGCTGGGATTACATGTGTGAGCCTCTTGAGTAGCTAGAATTGCAGTTGTGAGGCACTAGCATCTGGCTTCACCAAGAGTTTTTAAAGAGCATGTTGAATTTGGTTTTTAGCAAACCTAGTCGTGATATTTTTTTTTCAGGACAGTTTTATAAATAGACGTCTATATTATTATTGTTGGAATTTGCTGATTGGAAGGTGTCAGGGTAAGTTTTTTAAAAATTTTTTAATTTGCCAGTCCTGGGGCTTGAACTCAGGGCCTGGGCACTGTCTCTGAGCTTCTTTTGCTCAAGGCTAGCATTCTACCACTTGAGCCACAGTGCCATTTGAGGCTTTTTCTGTGTATGTGGTACTGAGGAGTTGAACCTAGGGCTTCATGTGTGCTAGGCAGGCCCTCTACCACTGAACCACACTCCCAGCTAACTGTGGATAAGGTTTATCCACAGTGAGGACAGTGAGAAGACTTCGTAAGAGATCTTTAGAGGTATCTTTGCAGCCACTGCAGAACCCTGGAGAGTGGTGCTGAGAACATGAAGAGCTGGGGTTGGTTTGTGGGTACCTTGGCCCTGCTCTAACAGTGGAGTGGTAGTATGATACAGTTGAAAGAAGAACAAATGGTAATGACGTCAAGGGTAAAGTGCTGAAGTGTTTTTGAAAGATCCTTCTGGACAGGTACTTGTGCCATTTATTTCATTTTTTAAAATTTATTTATTTTTTGGTACCAGTTCTAGGGCTTGAACTCAGGGCCTGGGCACTGTGCTTGAGCATCTTTTGCTCAAGGCTAGTTCTACCACTTGAGACACACAGCTCCACTTCTGGCGTTTTTGGTGATTAATTGGAGAGAAGAGTCTCATGGACTTTTTGCTTGGGTGTCTTTGGATGGTGATTCGCAGATCTCAGCCTCCTGAGGAGGATTACAAGTGTGTGGCTTAGTGGTAGAGTGCTTGCCTAGCGTGCATGAAGCTGGTTCAATTCCTCTGTATCACATAAACAGAAAAAGGCTGAAGTGGTGCTGTGGCTCAAGTAGTAGAGGGCTAGCCTTAGGTCAAAAGGCTCAGGGATAGAGTCTAGGCCCTGAGTTCAAGCCCCAGGACAGGAAAAAAAAAAAAGATTACAGGTGTGAGTTACCAGTGCCCTGGCACAACTTTCCTTTTTTTCTTTCTTCCTTTTTTTTTTTTTTTGTGTGGGTCATGGGGCCTGAACTCTGGGCCTGGGCGCTGTCCCTCAGCTCCTCAGCTCAAAGCTAGCCTCTACCACTTGAGCCACAGTGCTTCTTCCGTCTATTTTTTTTTTTTTTTGCTTACATGGTGCTGAGGAATCGAACCCAGGGTCTCATGCATTCGAGGCAAGCACTCTACGACTGAGCCACCTTCCCAGCCCACAACTTTCGTTTCTTAAAGAAGGCACTTTGGCATTAAAAATTAGCATTTTCCTTCATGTGCCTGTGTTTATTCTGCCTTCTAGCATTTACTCTTGTTGCTCTAGGATTTAGTTAAGGCTCTGGTTCCCATTCCAGAGCAGGAGTGGCCCTGGATGTTTTGGCCTAGGAACCATCTCTGGGTTACTTCTTTTTTTTTTTTTTTTTTTGGTTCCGGTTGTGGGGCCTGAACTTGGCCTGGGTGCTGTCCCTCAGCTCTTCAGCCCAAGGCTAGCACTCTACCACTTGAGCCACAGCGCCACTTCTGGCTTTTTTTTTTCTTCTGCTTATGTGGTGCTGAGGAATCGAACCCAGGGCCTCATGCATGCAAGGCAAGCGCTCTACCACTGAGCCACCTTCCCAGCCCTATTTATTTATTTATTTATTTATTTATTTTTGGGTCTGGTCGTGGGGCCTGAACTCTGGGCCTGGGCACTGTCTCTCAGCTCTTCAGCTCAAGGTTAGCACTCTACCACTTGAGCCACAGCTCTGGGCTACTTCTTTAAGATGCTCCTGCAAAGTTACTGGGAGCAAGGGAGGGGGTGAGGTGTTAGGTCCATCCTTAGTGGGCTGCTTAGTGGGGGAAAGTGAAAATCTATTAGCTTGGACTGCATCCTTTGATCCCTGTTGAGCTGGGGCTTAATCTCCAAACTGGGCCACAGAGAGTGGAAGACTGGCTGAAATAAGGGTCTTGTGGCTGTATCTGGGTAGTCAGGTCTTTGACATAAGAACATTCTTGGAAGGTCAGCTTCTGTTACTCAGGAGCACAGCTGCTCTTGGATCTGGGATGCACACCTGGCTCGTGGGGCCTCCATTCTCTGACTGCAATGAGGCTGGCCGTTCTGTGAAGAGTGAGGTTTTTGTTAGGGTGGCTGCACACACATGACGTGACGGTTTTGATTCCGTTTCCCAGATCCTTTCAAGCAAGATCTTGCGATCTAAGCAGCAAAATCTCCTTTTTAAGGACAGCTTCATTCAGGTCAAATCCATGACCAGGGAGGGTGAGGAGTTTGGTGCTGGGGCCCACACAGGCAGATGTCAGTGGAGAGTTACACAGGTTATCACAGGTGGGCTGTGTGGGAGGCCACC